TGGAGGCTGTGGTGGCCGGAAGCAGCCACTGCACTCCAGTCTGGGCGACAGAGTGAGACTCCAACTCAAAAAATAAATAAATAAATAAATTTATTCTTTCTTCCCAGGCCTTGGGATAATGAAAAAGAGGTAAATTCTTATGTTAAAGGATATTTTTAGAGCCAACCTATAGCTTTTAGTACCTGTGTTAGATTGTTCTTTCTCTTGTTTTGTCAACTAAAAAAAAAATTGAGCAACCCCTTCAAGTCAACCTCCCACTATGGGAGATTTTCTGTCCTCTCAATAAATTCTGCTTTCTAAAAAAAAAAAAAGAAAGAAAAAGAAAAATTGAAATAAATACCAGTCTCTTGCAAGCCCAACTTTCTTCCAACCAGACGGGGACTTCCAGTTTCTTTCCATTGAAGAAAGACGTTTTTATGATCTCTATCATTTGCTGAAGGTTGAGGTCAGTTTAACTTAATTTTACATGCCTTATAATCCTACATAGCACACAGTATACAAAGAATGGTTATGCAATCTATGATCGTTGAATTTGAGTTTCAAAATAGCCCATTCTTGCCTGCCAAAGAATCCAAAAGACCCTGAGCACTTGTGAGACTTTATTTAGCATTCAGCAATCATTTATTGAGTGTCCCCTACGTGCCAAGTATAGTACTAGACAGGTAACGATACAAAGACGTCTAAGACACTGCACTGTGCTTTCAACAAGTTCACAGTCTGATGACATTTCTCTGAATTATTCAGATTTGTATTATAAGTTCAGCTATACCACTCAGAAATGAATGACCTTCAGCAAATCACTTGTCTCTCTCTCTTTTTTTTTTTTTTTTTTTTTTTGAGTTGGAGTCTCACTCTGTCACCCAGGCTGGATGCAGTGGCATGCTCATGGCCCACTGCAGCCTTGACCTGCTGAGCTCAGGCAATCCTTCTGCCTCAGTCTTCCAAGTAGCTGGAACTGCAGGCACATGCCACCATGCTCGGGTAATTTTTTGATTTATTATAGGGATGAGGTATCGCCAAGTTACCCAGGCTGGTCTCAAACTTGTGGGCTCAGGCAATCCTCTCACCTCTGCCTCCCCAAAGTGCTGGGGTTGTAGGCATGAGCCACCCACCACGCCCAGCCCGTCACTTGCCTCTTTAAGCCATTTCCTTGTCTGTAAAATGTGGACATAATAGTACCTACAACTATAGCACTTATGCATGGCACCATCTGGAGTATAGAGCATAGCATATACAAGGATGCCAGTTTGGGGCTAGCACAGTGGCTCACACCTGTAATTCCAGCATTTGGGGAGGCCTGGGTCACACAGCAAGACCTCTCTATATAAAAAATTGAAAAATCTGCCAAGCATGGTGACACATGCCTGTAGTCCCAACTACTTGGGAAGCTGAGACAGAAGATCACCTGAGCCCAGGAGGTTGAGGCTGTGATGAGCCATGACCATAACACTATGCTCCAGCCCGGGCAACAGAGTGAGACTCCAAATCAAAAAAAAAAAGCCAGTTTGAAGACCAGGGGAAAAAATTCTCATGTTGAATTACAGACATCTACTAATACCATATCATTGTCTTGAGTCCAGCCCTAAATACAATGTATCTTCAGCATTTTGTATTGTTCCTGACCCAGAGTAACTGACCAGTAGATAATTGTTGGGTGGATGAATACAATGAGGAAGAAGTTAGGCCAAAAGATAAGTCACACACACATACACTTCCTTCTTCAAACAGAAGGTCCTTTGCTGCCTATCATATACCCGGAAGTGGTTGTTCTGTCAGCCTTCCATGATCTGAAACTGCTCAGTGGTGGGGCTTCACAAAGTCCTTATTGTCTTTTCTTTTCTTTTCTTTTTTTTTTTCTTTTTTTTGAGTTGGAGTCTCACTCTGTCGCCCAGACTGGAGGGCAGTGGCCGCTCCCGGCCACCGCAGCCTCCACCTGCTGGGCTCCCGCGATCCTTCCGCCTCAGCCTTCCGAGTAGCCGGAATTATAGGCATGTGCTACCACGCCCGGCTGATTTTTTGATTTATTGTAGAGATGAGGTCTCGCTGCCCAGGAGGGTCTCGAACCCGCGGGCTCAGGCAATCCACTCACCTCAGCCTCCCAAAGGTGCGGCATTACAGGCTGAGCCACCGAACCCAGCTTGTCTTTTCTTATCTTTGCTTTTCTAATAACGTTTCCTTCTCTTGCTCTGGTGTATTTCAATGCCAGTGTAATCATAAATACACAAAGGGAAATTTCATCCAGTAACCTACTGGTTAAGAGCTCAGGCATTGCCATCAGACAGATCTGATCCAATCCTGACTCTGCCATTTGTGTGTTCTTGGGCAAATGACTTAACTTCTCTGAGTTTTTAGTTTCTCATCCATTAAATGTGGGACAATAATATCGATTTCGCAGTGCTGATTTGAATACTTAATGAGATGTGGAAAGTTCTTGGCACAGTAAGCAGTCAGTGATCAAGAAGTGGGAACTGTCACTGTTTATTATATTTGATTATTATAATGGAAAAATCAGCCTGTAGAGTGGGTGACATCCTTGAAGAGTGGAGAAAAGAAAACTGTTGTTTAAAAAAATGGTTTAACAGTTGGAAATGGAGACAGAGGCATGAGAAGGGGCCAGTTCTGGCTGAATCTAAACAAGAACCCACCACTTCCGGTAGGTCGGTGATTCAGAGTGTGTGTTCTGTCATCAGATTTGTTGGTTTTTCTGCTGCTTGTTGGTTTTTCTAGTAAGCACTAGATGATAGCATTGGGCAAGTGGCCTCTCCTACTGAGCCTCAACTTGAGAAAAATAAGATTTGCTGAGTCATAGGGCTGTCCAGAGGATTTAGAGACACACAGTCATGGTACAGAGAAAATAATCAGTAGATGGTGGTTGTTAATCATTTTTCAGGTTTCAAGGTGCTTGCTTCCTCGAAATATCCTTCTAAGTCAACTTCAGCTTCCAAGGTTGGAAGGCACGATGTTCACAAAAGACTAGACAGAGAGGCTGGGTATGGTGGCTCACACCTATAATCCAGTACTTTGGGAGGTAGAGGTGGGAGAATAACTTGAGCCCAGGAGTTCAAGACTAGCCTGGGCAACACAGTGAGACCTCATCTCTACAAAACAAACAAACAAACAAACAAGTTGGGTATGGTGGAGTGTTGCCTATGTCCCAGCTACTTGTGAGGCTGAGGTGGGAGGATCACTTGAGCCCAGGCTGGGGTGGGCTGTGATTGTGCCATTGCATTCCAGCCTGGGTGACAGAGTGAGAATCTAACCAAAGAACAATCAGACAAACAAACAAAACCCCATCACACTAGGCAGAGACTTTTAGTTATGCTCAGTGGACAGAGAATAAGACAATCCCAAGCATGAGGTCTTTCAACAAAGTGCTTTATTGGAGGGTACCGTGCAGGGTGGAGCCAATGAGGTGGGTGTGGATGGCACTTTCCAGAGGTGATGCTCAGTTCTAACAATACTTCTTGGTGTCCAGGTTCTTGTGTTCTTTGTTGTATGGGGCCTTTGAAAAGCAGATGGCAGCGTTGCGGTCGCAGTTGCAGATGAAGGCCTGGCATTCTTTGTTTTTGCCTGGAGAGGGACAAGAGGAGACAACTGAGCCCAGGTAGACCCTGCTTTGTATAATTCAAGGACAGTAAGAATACAATGGGATGAGCTGTTGCCACTTCATGGGTGCACATTTAGGGTTCACTAACTGAGTAAATATGTATCAGAATGCCCAGTCAAATTTGACTTTCACATAAACAATGAGTACGGCAGTTGGGATATTTGTCAAAAAGTCACTCGTTGTAGCCGGGCTCGGTGGCTCAGCCTGTAATCCTGTGCCTTTGGGAGGCTGAGGTGAGTGGATTGCCTGAGCCTGCGGGTTCGAGACCCGCCTGGGCAGCGAGACCTCATCTCTACAATAAATCAAAAAATTAGCCGCGCGTGTAGTGTGCGCTTGTAGTTCCAGCTACTTGGAAGTTTGAGCTGGAAGGATCACCAGAGCCCAGCAGGTCGAGGCTGCGGTGGCCGGGAGCGGTCCAGTCTGGGTGACAAAGTGAGACTCCAACTCAAAAAAAAAAAAAAGTCACTCGTTGTTTATCTGAAAGTAAAATTTACCAGGGCATCCTGAGTTTTATGTGGTGCTCCTAAGTGTGATTTTGCTGCCTTTTGGAAAGTCTTGTCTATTTTACACCCCTAAATGAGCTTACCGATTCTTTTTTTTTTTTTAGGTGGAGTCTCACTCTGTAGCCCAGGCTGGAGTATAGTGGCACGCTCACGGTCACTGCGACCTCCACTTACTGGGCTCAGTTGATATTCCTTAGCCTTCCAAGTAGTTGGAACTATAGGCATGCGCTGCCATCCATGCCCAGCTAATTTTTAAATTTTTTTGTAGAGATGAGGTTTCACCAAGTTGTCCAGGCTGGTCTCGAACCCGTGGGCTCAGGCAGTCTTCTCACCTCAGCCTCCCAAAGTGCTGGGATTATAGGTGTGAGCCATCGTGCCTGGCCAAGTTCACCGATTTAAAAACCCATATAGCTATAGATCTCTGATAACACAGGCAAGCAATTATAAACCCTATGAGAAATATTAAAACATATACTTAAGGCAGCAAAGTATCATAGTAAAGTGTGGTAAGACAATTTCTCTACTTTAAAGCGCATATTTTATAATCTACCAAATGCCCTTAAATGGATTATTACACAGATATTTAGAATTAGGTATGTCTGTAACTGGAAATTTTTCCAAATATTTTATTAAAGGGAAAAATGCTTGTGTCTGCCTAAAAATCTGGACAGATACATAGCTAGCTGGTTATCTTTGGATAGTAGGATTATAGGTGTCCTCAATTCCCATGATAAATATTTCTGTAGAGTTTGAAACTGCATTACTTTCTGCTCATTTACTTTTGTAACCAAAAGAAACAATAAGGTCGGGCGCAGTGACTCATGCCTGTAATCTCAGTATTTTGGGAGACAGGGCAGGAGAATCACTTGAGCCCAGAAGTTCAAGACCAGCCTGGGCAGCATGGTGAGACCTCATCGCTACAAAGAAAAAAAAAATTAGCTGGGCATGGTGGTGTGCACCTGTAGTCATAGCTATTCAGGAGGCTGAGGCAGAAAGATAGCCTGAGCTCATGAGTTTGAGGTTGTAGTGAGTTGTGATGGTGCCACTGCACTCCAACCTGGGTGAAAAGTGAGACTCCAAAAAAAGAAAGAAAGAGTGCCGGGCATGGTGGCTCACACTTGTCATCTCAGCAATTTGGGAGGTGGAGGCAACAGGAGTTCGAGACCAGCCTGGACAATTTGACGAGACCACATCTCTACAGTAAAAAAAAAAAAAAAATTAGCCAGGTGTGGTGACACATTGTAGATCCAAGCTGAGGTGGAAAGAGCACCTGAGCCCATTAAGTCGATAGCCTTGAACGTGACACTACACTCCAGCCTGGGTGACGGAGTGAGACTCTGACTCAAGTAAAAAATTATTTTATTTGTTTGTTTTGAGTTGGAGTCTCACTCTGTCACCCAGGCTGGAGTGCAATGGCACACTCACAGCCACAGCAGCCTCAACCTGCTGGGCTCAGAAGATCCTTCTGCTTCAGTCTTCCAAGTAGCTGGGCCCACAGGTGCGTGCTACCACACCTGGCTTATTTTTTTATTTATTGTAGAGAAGAGGTCTCGCCATATTGCTCGAGCTGGTCTCAAACCCCTGAGCTCAGGCAATCCTCTCGCCTGCGCCTCCCAAAGTGCTGGGATTACAGACTTGAGCCACGGCGCCCAGCTAAATATAACATTTAAAATACGCTTGAACTTTATTATCTATAACTTATACATATCTGCTTGTCTTATCAATTACGATTTTGTTTTTCTCAGATCTTTTCTTCTAAAAATCACAAATGTTTAGCCAGGTGTAGTGGCATCCATCTGTGGTTCCAGCTACTTGGAAGGCTGAAGCAGAAGGAACGCCTGAGCCCAGCAGGTCAGAGCAGTGATGATCGTGAGCATGCCACTGCACTCCAGCCTGGGTGACAAGAGTGAGACTCCAACTCAAAAAAAATAAATAAATAAAAATAAATAAATAAATAAATAAATAAATAAAAATCACAAATGTCATTCTTGCTCAGTAAACTTCCTCTAAAGTATAAATTAGCATTTAATTAGATTATAAAATCTTCACAATGAGATAATTCTTTAGTGAGTTATTGTTAATTAATGTGAACAAACACCCTCTAATACAGACTCTTTGGCCTTATTGGAGAGATCAGCTGCATTAAAAGGAAATTGTTTGCAAGCGTGTGTGTGCATGTGCACGTATGTGTGTATTTCCCTGGGAGAGGGTCCATAGCCTTCATGAAATTTATAAAGCATTCTGGAATTCATAGAAAGTAACCCCTGCTGATCGAGCTATAGTATAAAAATATGATTTTCCATAAATTTGGCCTTCTAAAGCGGGGCAACCCAAATCCCTGTTACCAGAGGAATGTGTAAGCAAATTAAGCCCTATTATGCAGTGATAAAAATAGTAACAATGAAAACTTGAGGCAATATGGAAAAACAGTCAGGACAAGGTGATAAGTGAGAAGAGGTAGAATGCAAGATTGTATTTATTCTGGAAAAGCTGCAAAGATAGTATAAAAAAAGGAAAAAAATTATATCTAGGCTATGCATTCATCAAATATTTATTGAGCACCTACTCTATGCCAGACAATTGCTCTAGATTCTGAGAGTCTGGCAATGAAGAAAATAGACAACAATCCCTGGTCTTTCGGCTTCTACATTCTATTGAAAAGATAGAAAATAAAGAATTATTGGCACTTTGGGCTTGAATTCTAGTTGTTCCACTGTCGTTTGTACAGGTTTGAAAGCTGGGACCTGACTATGAGGTCATTGCACACAGAGGTAATGAAAACTCAGAATGCTGGCCTGGCATGACAGTACCTCTCAACGTCTCTGAATTATCTGCTCTTCAAAAGCCACCTTCATGGAGGAATACGTTTCACCAAGTGCACTACAGAATTGAGTGGTTAGCAACAGAGCCTTTCAAATCATATAAAACTGGGTTCAAATATCTACCTCCCACTTACAAACTATATGATTTTGGGCAGAAGGCTGTCTTTGAGCCTTAACTTCGTCATCTGTAAAATGGGAACGATAAAATCTGTCTTGTAAACATGTATAGCCCAGTACCTGGCAAGTCACAAGAGTCTAATAAATAATACGCTCTAAGCTGTGTTTATTAAATAGGATAGTGGTATTGCATATCAGTTAGAGCAGAGGCTTTGGAGTCGTGAAGAGCTGTGCACAAAAACCAAACACTACTTACAAGCTATGTGACCTAGGGCAAATAGCTCTGCCTTCTGAGCCTCCGGTTTTTTTGTGTTTTTTTTGTGTTTTTTTTGAGTTGGAGTCTCACTCTGTCGCCCAGACTGGAGTGCAGTGGCCGCTCCCGGCCACCACAGCCTCGAACTGCTGGGCTCCGGCGATCCTTTCGCCTCAGCCTTCCAAGTAGGCGGAATTACAGGTATGCGCTACCACGCCTGGCTGATTTTTTGATTTATTGTAGAGATGAGGTCTCGCTGCCCAGGCGGGTCTCGAACCCGTGGGCTCAGGCATTCCACTCACCTCAGCCTCCCAAAGGCGCGGGATTACAGGCTGAGCCACCGAGCCCGGCTGAGCCTCAGTTTTTAATCTGCAAAATGGGGATAATAACTATCTACCCCACAGGGTTGTTGTGAGGATTTAAGGAGATGCTTCCCAGCACTAAAAAAATGGTCGCTAAGTGTTGGCTATCATTACTCTTATTTCCCCCTGTTTACGGAGGGTCTGTAGAATCCATATGTCAAGGAGAGAGTAAACCTACTGCTGCAGGTGATCTCAGAGCCAGAGCACGAGTATGAGTAGATCTTGGTGTAGGGGTTGTCCAGGAGGAATTTACAGCTGTTCAGCTGCTTGGCCTGGCTGTAGCAGTTGTCATGTATCTGGCAGCACCTGGAAAGGGGGAGGAAACGCTGAGGCAGGAGCAAGCATGGAGCAACAGGTCAGCCCTCACCTGTTCTCTCTCAGGAACAGGTGTGGATGACTTAGCCGAGATGATCCGGGAGAGATGATCCCATGGCTTGAACGATGTAAGAACTTTTATCATATATTTATTAAAAGCAATTTTAACATGGTCGTAGGACTACAGTAACATTCTATATTTATAGGCCAGGCATGGCGGATCACACCTGTAATCCCAGCACTTTGCAAGGATGAGGCGAGAGGATTGCGTGAGCCCAGGAGTTCAAGACCAGCCTGGGAAACATAGTGAGACCTTGTCTCTACAAAAAAATAAGCCAAAAAAAAAAAATTTTTTTTTTTTGAGCTGGAG